ATTAAATATAATAATAAATAATAATAAATATAATAATAATAATAATAAATAATAATAATTATTTCATTTTCTTACTCGCCTTCAACGCGGCCAAATGTGCCTCACCGCCCCAATTCTCGCAAAATACTTCGCGATCCAAAAATGACTTCTTCCCTTCCAAATCCATATTTTCCACATTATTATTATTATTATTTATATTATTATTATATATATTATTAATATTAATATTATTATCATTCAAATCATGGACAAGTGCCAATTTTTTGATTGACCTCAACAGGGTCACATTATTCACTAGCAATTTGTTAACATATTCCTCAAATTCCGCTTCGCTCGAATAGACCAGATTAGCTAAGCCACGCCCCTTTTCCGCAAGCTCCGCCCCCTTCAATACCGTACCCATGGCGAGCATTTCGACGGCGCGCGCACGACCAACGATGCGGAAGAAGTCGAGGGCGGTACCCCAACCTGGCGTGACGCCAATCTGAATAAATAATTATTATTATTAATTATCTATTATTATTAATTACATTAATTATCATATATTCGTTCACAGTGGGCAGGGTCTTAGCCACAGAAAATACGCAACCAATGGGCGTGACCTTGATTGACCCCGCCCATCGCCGCTCGCACGAACAAACAAAAAACCCAAAATTACTAACAAGTAACCTTCGATTGCACATAGCCAAACCGCGAATTCACGTGGAACGCACGCAGATCGCACGTGCACGTCAACTCGGCCCCGCCCCCTATCGCCCACCCCTCCACTTTGGCCAACGATAGCTGTGGGAGGCGCTTAAACCTACGCAGCAAATCGCTCATGAAACGGTGCATTGTGTACCCACTATGCGGGTCACATAGCCGCTTCATGATGCGCAGATCGCCACCCGAACAGAATTGGCCATTCGCCCCCGACACGATGACCAATTTCCCCGTAGGCCACGCCCCTAACTCCTCGACTATTCGCTCCAAGTCCAGGAACATTCTGCCAGTCATCGCGTTGCGACCGCTCGCGTTCGTCAACACCAGACGCGCCACGCCGCTCGCGTCATCTTTTGAAAACTCGATTTTGGCTGCAATTTATTATTATTATTACTAATGTATATTATTAATATACATATATAATAATAAATAATAATAATAATAAATAATAACAATAAATAT